CATCCTAATACCATTCTTGCCCAAACACACTTAATTGTAGTGTTTTAATAGGATCTAGTGGATTAGTGCTAATATGATCACCTATCAATGGACATGCAAAGAATGTAAATACGTGTCGACAACTTGGGACCTGGACATGGCAACTAACACAGTTATCAATTCGATCCCAACAATTTTACAATTACGAGATGGTTAAAATACCAAATTCATCCCTCAACTTTTTGTTTCCTACCTAACTCATCCGTAGACTTTGGAAAAGTATTGAAATTGCTAACATGGGTTGATTTTTGATAAGTGAAATTACCAACATGGTTATCACATAAGCAAGAAAAATTGCCACATAAACTATTTGAATTGCTATCTCATTTCCGCGTAATATTCATAGCTAAAGAAAATGAATTTTTGGATAGAATAATTGGCTACGTCATCACCTAACTAATGGATGAACAAAGCCAATACAAAAGATTGAAGTTGAGAGACAATTTTGATACCTTCTAAAGTTCAAAGGTGAATATAACACAGAGATCTAGGAGTTAAGGAGCTAAACTTGTATTTTGACCTTACAAGATCAACTACGCAATTTCTTGAGAAATTTTGATGAGCTTTATTGGTGGAAATTGTGAAGAGAACTCAATTGAGAGAATTAAAAAGAGTGAGACACGCTAAAAAAGAAAAGAATAAAAAAGAGGGATGCAACATAAGGACTTCCAAGAGGTCACCTATCCTATTACTACTCTTGCCAAGCACGCTTAACTACAAATTTCTAATGGAAGGGATCTAGTGCATTGGTGGTAGTATAAATCACACTCGTCAATGGGTGCACAAAAAATATAGATATGTATGATGACTCAATCCCCAACTAAAAACTCTTCCACAAAAGAAGAGATAGGTTACTCTTCCACTAACTTGATTTCTTTAGAAATTAGGAACTTTATTGGTAAAAAAAAAAAAAAGAATAAATGGAAGAGAAGAGATGAAAAAAATAAAAGGTTAAACCCCTATTTTGGTTTCTGAACTATTGTACGGACCCCCGATTTGGTCCCTGAACTAAAGAAATCCTTAATTTGGTCCTTGAACCATTGTACGACCCTGAGTTGGTCCCTAAACTATTGTATAGACTCCCGAGTTAGTCCCTAAACTATTATATGGATCTCCAATTTGGTCCTGCTGTTTACCAATTTAGCCACAACTTGGTCCTTCTGTTAAATAATAGCTCAGGGACCAAATTGGGACGAAATTGTAAATAGTAAGGACCAAATTGGGGGTATGTACAATAGTTTAAGGGCCAACTTAGGCCAAATTATAAACAGTGGAGACCAAATCGGGTCTGTATAATAGTTTAGGGACTAAATCAGGGATTTCTTTAGTTCAAGGACCAAATTGGGGGTCCATATAATAGTTCAGAGATCAAAATGGAGATTTAACCAAAATAAAAATAAAAAATAAAAAGAGTGGTGCAATACAAGAACTTTTGAAGAGGTCAGGGAAAATAAAAGAATGTTCCCCTTTTACCGTTCTTTTTGTATTAAAATATGAAAGTACATGAATAATTTTAAAAACCCAAATAAAATGGAAAGTGGGGGGAAACTTTCTTTTCCAATCAAACAACCAAACACCTCTATCAAGGATATTTATATTTAAAATATTGTAATATATTTGAATTTTTTTTCTTAAAAAAACTCAATTTTTTGCGTGGGCCCTTCGATCTTCAGCTTCAGCTCCACCCACTAAAGCCCATATCAGTTTTAGGCTGAAACCAAAATCTTAAACGCGACCACCAAAACACCTTTTTACGGGTTGGTTAACTGTTTACAGTTCCAGCAGTTTTGCCCAGCCTTTCCGCTTTGTGGAGATTTAATCGAAGAAATTAAAATATAAGGGCCAATTTGCAATATACAATAAAGAGAGATGGCATTGGAGCTAGGATTGTGAGAGCTGGATGACGATATGATCATTCTCCCATTTTCTTTAAACCCCAAATTTCTTCTCCTCTCTTACGGAAGAGCCCTAGCCACCAAGGAGGGAGGCAGTGACCTGGGATAAAGAACACTAGGTGGTTCTCTGGACGACGAAAGCTAGCTGCAATCTCGTCGGAGTAACCAGGCATATCATCTGAGTTGCTGGTGCTCGAGGTCTAGTAAAATTTCGTTGATTTATTTGGTATGTCATTAAATTTTTTTTGCCTGAAATCTGTTTGAATTGATGAATATTTGGTTTAATGCCCCTGATGCTGTTCTTTGGAACATTATTGATTTAAGTTGGTGTGGTCAAGAAAGGCATTACAAAACCTAGACTCCTGTCAACAGAAGCAGAAGCACTGTGGGAGATGGAGAACAAAGACGAGAAAAATGGTGAGCAGGAGCAGGTGGTGAACCCTTGGGAAGTATCTGCCAAAGACGGTGGCAAGATCGATTACGACAAGCTCATTGACAAATTTGGATGTCAGAAGCTCGACCAGTCATCCAGTGAGTTATCCCACGTTAAACGTGTTGAAAGACTCACTGGACGCCCTGCACATGTTTTCCTCCGCCGTGGCGTCTTCTTTGCCCACCGGTCCTTAATTGTTAAATTATTTATTGCCCTTCTTATATTTCCACTCTTATCTTTCTGTTGATCCTTCTTCTTCGTTCGGCAGAGATTTTGATGACATACTGAATGCCTATGAGAGAGGGGAGAAGTTCTACCTTTATACAGGACGAGGACCGTCCTCTGAAGCTTTGCATTTGGGCCATTTGGTTCCTTTCATGTTTACCAAGTCAGTCACTTTACCTCTTTTCTTTTTAACCTTCTTCCTTTTTTTCTGCATGAATTCATTGATGTGCCGGAAAGGAACTGCCATACTAATTTTATTTTTATATTTTCTGATTCTTTTAATATGGATAGCTGAATTACAATTTCGTTCATTTTCATTATTTGACTATACCATAATAGAATTTAAGGTCCATATGATTGTTTTGATTATGAGATTCATTTTTATATAAAGTTTCCTGTATGTGAATCTTGTGTGTGAAATTCGGTATTTTTAAGTAAATTTCAGTTGTTGGTGACCTTCTATTATTGTATTAGAATGTAAAAGAACTTCATTATTGTTATGCAACCTGTGGCGGCTTTTCTGAAATTAATTGTATCTATTTTTGGACTTCTTCTCCATAATTGGCAGATACTTGCAAGATGCCTTCAAGGTCCCTCTCGTTATACAACTTACTGATGATGAAAAGTGCATGTGGAAAAATCTTTCTGTGGAGGAGAGCCAGAGACTTGCTCGTGAGAACGCTAAAGACATTATTGCTTGTGGTTTTGACATTTCAAAAACTTTTATCTTCTCTGATTTTGATTATGTTGGAGGGTAAGAAATCATATGATTGTGCAAAACACCTAATTGCAGTGACTATCTGATTTTGCAGTGGTTGCTGGATGCAACTTGATTCAAATTAACTATTTTGAACAGTACTGATAACTGATGCTCCAACATAAGCTTAAAGCTCTGCATGTAGTTCTTAAGATGCTGTGATTTCAAGGAATTTTTTTCTTTTATGGATAAAAGTTATACCTAAAATTATGTTTCCTTTTATTGCAAGGAAGATTGAACTTTCTGAAATGTGTTTTTCCTTTTGAAGTGATTGGATGCATAAATTTTGTTCAGATAAATATTTTTTTAGTGAAAAAGATGGTTCTGGCATTCTGAACTATTGTGGGGATTATATTCAAGTGAAAGGGGTGAATTTTGTTCTGTTGATTGGTTGTTTTTCACATTCAATTGTTACATGCCTTAAAAGTTTAAGCGGCAACCAGCTTGGACCTTTTAGAGCACTCAGGCTCTTCATCCTTGCATGGGATAAGGCTTATGCATGCTTTGAGGTTATATTAATGATTTTTGTGAAAGGTGGTTCTGTCTGGTAAAGGGTGTAGTGTAGTTTAGTTCCATATGGTTCTATCTGGTAAAGGGTGCAGTGTAGTTTAGTTCCATACTCATTTACTTTATTATTGTAATGCCTGGTGGATTTTGTCTTCTGCATTTTCAGTGCCTTCTACAAAAACATGGTGAAGGTTGCAAAGTGTGTCACATATAATAAGGTGATAATTGGCCCCTTCCACTTTTTTTTATGTGCAGAGAGACCTTTTGCCTTTTAATGCATTTGTTTTAAAAGATTTCTGGTTACATTTAGGTTGTCGGTATATTTGGATTTACTGGTGAAGATCATATTGGAAAAGTTAGCTTTCCACCTGTACAGGTATAGCTTTCCTCTTTATTTATTAATCAGTGGTGAAATGTTTTTGTTACAGTAATGCGTTTTTTCCTTTTTTAAACCATCATATTCCTACATGTTATTTTTATGTGATATTCAGAGACATTTCATAATTTATGCATCTTTATTTCAAAATGCTTATTCAAATGAGGAAACACAATTTTCTATGAAGAAATACCAGTCAAAGCAGGAAGTAGAAGAAGAAAACCAAATAAAAATGGATTTGAAGTTATAGAATTAATTCTAATGGATAGTTCTGAAAATATGGTAGCTTTATAGACTAAGGTTACAGTAGCCATATAATCAACCCTTTAATTTATTAAATTAAATTGTTCATCCTCGTTCAAAGTTACAAGCCAATCACACAGCTCTTTAGCAAAAGCATAAACCAATGGCAAAACTAATAAATATAAGACATGGTAAAGATATATGAAGGATAAAAGAAAGTATAATGGTCTCACTGAATCTAGTAGTCACCTTTTAGCCTTCTTACATGTTACTTCATCAAAACTGTAGTTATTATGATATTTCATGGCCTTTCTTTATGTTACCATCTGGTAAGCTTCTTTCATTGCAGGCAGTCCCTTCATTTCCCACATCATTCCCACATCTATTCTCTGGAAAGGATAATCTGCGTTGCTTAATTCCCTGTGCAATTGACCAGGTCAGTGCCCTATTTGTTGAAATTCTATGTAGCTTGATTATGCAATTGGATCGTTTTAATTCTTACATTGAAAGCTGCTTATGCTGATACTATTCTTATTATGATGCATTCAGGATCCATATTTCAGAATGACGAGAGATGTTGCTCCTCGGATAGGGTATCACAAGCCTGCCTTGATTGAGTCATCTTTCTTCCCCGCCCTGCAGGTATTCATATACCATACCAAGAAACATAAGTTGCAACTGAGGAAAGTAGCACACTATAATGTGGCAGGAAGAGAGGAATCTATGCTTATGCTATGGTTTTAGAACCTTTATACTGTTTGTATACCATAAACTATAACATGATATTCAGCAAATTTATTTCCCACAAGTAGATGTTTACAACCTAAACAGCATTATTATGCAAACAAATCCATTACATGTTTTTGGCCAATGATTGGTATCATTTCCTTTGTTACAGTTTGATCATATATCTTGATCTTAGATCACCAGTTTCCTTGCTTTTATTGTGTCAATTCATCATGTTCAAACTATATTTTTGTCCTTTCTGAAATTTGAGCTGAAAAGACTTATAGTTCTTTGTGATGCAATACAAACCAAATTGTCGTTAGAAGTGGGTTTCTTTTGCCAGGCTAGTCATGTAAATACACCAAAAGCTATCATTATTTATAGTTTTATTTACAATCTTGTTGACTCTTAACTGCTATTATCTGATTGGTGTGAGATGCAAGAGAGGAAGATACCATCAATTTAAGAGATCATTTCTGAATACTGTCCAAGTTCTATCCAAAATATGCCATCTAGATTTTATTTTGATGAGTGCATTGTCTTTACAAAACAATTCACATGCATTTAGTTGATCTCATATGATGATTTAATGGGAAATACACCTGATATTTGCAGGGAGAGTCAGGAAAAATGTCAGCTAGTGATCCAAATTCTGCCATTTATGTTACTGATTCTGCAAAGGACATCAAAAACAAGGTTCGGTTCCTGAATTTCTCATTGATCTTATATTGGTTTATATCAAAAAGTTTTGATTTAACTCAAATAAAAATGATGAAAAAAAAAAAGAAGAAAAACTAAGATGATTTATATAAAAAGAAAAGAAAAGAAAGATATCTACTATTATAATTCAAGATGGCCTCAGAAAAAACTATAATCTAAAAGAAATAAGTGACAGTGTTAAGTAGCCCTTATATCATTGGATTATCATTGTAATGGTTGTGACTTGTGATACTAAAGTAATAATAGTTCAAGTGACTTTTAACAGCAGTCATATCCAATGATACATGAGGACATCTTGGGCTCTGATGCTTGAGTCATGTGTAAAAGAATGGTTTAAGATCTCTAAAGTTGAATAGAGTTTTGGTTTGGTTAATGGGAAAATAGTTAATTCAATTGGATAGGTAGTTTCTAAAGTTTTTATTGCAGTGCAAAAATGTGGACTTCTTGGGTGACTGAATGCTTCTCTTCATTATTTATGCACCATTGTGATGAGTACACAACGTGGACAAAGTAGGAAATATTGAAGCCTCTTACACCTTGTTTGTCTGACACCTATAATTCACTCTACTTTTTCCAGATGTATAAAGCCATAAAGTTAATTTAAGTATCACCCATGCACTTATTGGAAAGGGGTACTTTGGACTTCCAAATTTAATTTCAATTGTGTCACGCAGCTGGAGGAAATAGTAAATCAGTTAAACTTTTTAAAATAATGGTGTATAATGGAAAAAGGTTAAAACTAGAAGTTGTAAAACCGCAAAAAGTGAAGTTTACTCCTTTTTTAATCGGGATGTAAATGTAATTAAGGAATTAATTATGTCTCTCAGCTATAGTTTAGGACCTAGGGTTTGTTACTCATTTTTAAACATTCATTTGATCTTTTTTGGTTGATTATATTTTCAAGTTTACAAAATCTTGTTATAGATACTCCCACTTTTCTTTCTAGGTAAAGAAGCCTCTCCAACTACTAGGCCAAACACCTACTTCATTTGATGTCACAGTAGATGTAACTTTGTTATGTTGTTATGAAAGAAAAAAGAAAAAGAAAAAAAAGGAAAGAGAAAGATGACTTGTGCAATGCAGAACGTACAAAGTAGAAAAGTGATTTTATTGTTACTAACCCTAATGATTGTGAAATTACAAAGTAATAATGTATGTAGGTTATTTGTATCTAGCACTGGGTATGCTGCATTATTTGTAAATGTAAGCTTTTTTGCAATGGAATTGCCAATTTCTATTAAAATAAAAGAAGTACATAGGCTTAGACTCATTAAATATAGGAAGATTGGGATTTTAAAATAAAACATTAAGAAGATTTTTTATGGATAACATGGGTATCCAGGCTTTAGACTTGACTAATTCCACAAATATTTATAAACCATCCCATCCACAAGTATAGGGTAAGGTTCCACCTTCAAGGGTGGCAGGCATAGCCTATTGAAATTGTTTGCATCCAAATGGTGTTGGAGGGATTCAAACCCACATTTCTAGCGTGGTTCAAATGACTTCTTAACCACTTGAGCAAACTTCAATGGGTAACAAATTAAGAAGTTAATTAATACTGATATCAAGACCTGATGGATCAAAACCTGGGTAAGCAAAATAAAATAATCATGAAGTACATTTGATCACCTGAAGAATGAACTATTATGGTTCTGTGATTGATGTTGCATTATTTTAGTTGGACCAGACCATTGGGAAACAGATATATAAATTTACTTGTAACCTAGTCCAGACTACATTTCACTTTTTTTGTGATTATATTAATTTTTTCTTTATGTAATTCATTTTCGGTAATTTTCTGCTGTATTATGGCCTATGGTTTGTCTGTTAATTTTATGTAGTATTACTATTTTTGTTCAATATGGTGTCTGATTTCCATCATTGTTGATTGAGAGGATTGTATGGTAACTAGATATTGGTACATGTCCTATACAAGTGAAGTATTTGCTAGCCAGATTTTTCTAGAAAATTTAATTTGCAATTTTATCTTCAGATAAACAAGCATGCATTCACTGGTGGACAAGAATCTATAGAGAAACACAGAAAGTATGGAGCCAATCTGGAGGTATTGAGTTTGGTTTTTCTTTTGTTTTGCCTATATGATGGATTTACTTGCCAGATCATCTAGCTTTTATATATCACACCTTATTGCAAAAATATATTCAACTTAGAAGGTTAGAAATATGTTGGTTTTAATGTAGCTGAATCATAAGGTTTAATGTTCTGATCTGTAATGTGACTTTCTTGTGAAGTGTACTTTGGCTGAGCATGCTTGTGTGTAAAGCAAATCTGCATGATCTTTCTGTGTCTCTCCCTCACTGTCTGTTAATGTGCTTGTTTAACTTTCAATGAGTAACTGCCATTTATATTTTCTGATGTTAACTTAATGGTAATTATTTCTTTTATTTGGAAATTTATTCAGGTAGATATACCAATCAAATATCTTAATTTTTTCCTTGAGGATGATGCTGAGCTTGAGCATATAAAGAAGGTGAGCTTAATGTAACCAAATAATCATGTGATAGTTGCCTTTAGCCCTTAATACTTTGCTCGTTTTGTTTTGTCTTAGTATTATGTTTTTTCTGTAGGTTTTCGTAATGCTTTTTTTGTTTTTGGAAATTGGAAATTGGAAAGTATATTCAGCATTCAAAATCCTGAAATTGGGTAAATACAAATACTACCTTGCATATCCAGGGCAAAACCAGCTAGCTATTTACAATAAACTTTCTGGACTGAAGGAAGCTGATCCATTGTTATTAAAGATGCACCAAGGTGCAAGGCCAAGGCGGGCAGCTTAGACACCATTGCACCCAACCCATTTCTAAATATCACATAATAATCACAAATTAATAAAACATGATAATGTCTTCTGTTTCAATTGTTAACAATTAAACAAAGCATCACAAATTAGTATTGAAAAAGGGAGAAATATTTAAAAAAAAAAAATTAGACTTGTTATTCATCAACTATGCGCATGTATCTATGCTCAATATACATTAACAGATCAATGAAATCAAGGAGATAATTAGGGAATCCTGACCGTACACAAACTAATCAATGAAATTGAGGAATGATTTTACAGCATTGAGACTCAACTAAGGAAAACTGCCGTATGAATTTTCTTGTAATGGAAATCGTAATTGGCTGCTATGGTATTGACTTTAGTGATTAAGGTTTGATTCTTGGTTTTTCAGGCTGCCTTTATTATCATTGCTGTTTCTTTTTTTCCTTTTTTTTTTTCTTTTTTTTGGCCTTGTATCATTGCTGTTTCTGGTTTTTGGTTTTTGTTGTTGAAAATTTAGCAACACTAATGGTCATTGGTTTTGAAAATTTGTAGTCCATAAGTTGTAACTTAAAACTTTTATTTTTAGCTTTTAGTTGTCAATCTTGGATTTTCAAAATTTGGAAACTGAAAGAAACCAGCAACAGTAATTATACCGAAGAGACCTTTCATTTGTGTATCTAACAAAATCAGGAATTTTCATTTGAGTCAATTAGGGACTTATTATGGAAGGTGGAAACCTACTTATTATTGAAAGTGGAAACCTATTAAACATGAAAAAAATACAAAAAACTAAAATTTTGACCTTTGCAATTCAGGTGTCTTCTTAAAGTAGTGCGCAAGGCTCACCTTGCCTCTTTAGGGGTGTGCCTCACCTAGGGCAAAAAGGTGCTGGGTCAGTGCCTCATCGCCTTTGAATAACGCTGAACAGATCTTTGTAATGCACTTATTATTTACCAAAAGATAAATATCTGTCATGTTCCCATAAAAAATAAATATATAAATAACTCCAACGATATCTGTTTGGTTCTTTCCTAATATTCATTGTTTTGTAGGAGTATGGTGCTGGACACATGCTGACAGGTGAAGTGAAGAAGCGGCTTATTGAAATTTTGACTGAACTGGTGGAGAGACATCAGCGAGCTCGAGCTTCAGTGACTGAAGAGGTGAGCAAATTTCAGCTCTTACTAGAGTATACACTTAAATACATTTGCTATGGGACTGATGTGGAGATTATTCCGCTCATACACAATTAGACTGTTTTGTGGTGATTGTGAAATAAGCTAGTAGTAGTAGTTAGAATGTTACTGACCTGAGGTGAATGGTATTTATAATAATCCTTTCTGTTTCAGATGGTTGATGCTTTCATGGCCGTTAGACCCCTTCCAAATATGTTTGATTGAAGTCAAGATTATCAACCTGGGTGCACAGATACTCTAAGTTTCTGATGCATTAGATGCTTCTAATCAATAGGAAAGAAAAGCAAAAGAAGAAAAGGTTATGATACGCACATCCATATTGGTTTCAAGGTTTAAAGTTTATACTGATGAGATTTAGCATTTAACAAATTGATGAAACATCAAGATTTTTATTTATTATTACTTCTAGAGATGTGCAAAACATGCAGTTTAGAGGTTTGGATGATACAACACATGAAATATAGATTCACTGAGAAAATGCCAGCCTATTTATGGGTTGAAATCTCTTTAGATGCTAAGCGCTGCTGACTTTTTTCGTTTTGAACATTTGCAATTTGTGGGGAAGGGCGGATTTGAGCCTTGGTGGTGCGCTTCACAACCAAATGGGCTGTCAGTCCAGTTGCAACCTTGCTAACTTTTAGACAAACAAAAAATGGATAATGTAAAATTTTTTGGTATATGTCGAGTTCATGGTTATGGTTCTAGAATATGAATGTGGTCCCCAAGTTTGCTATATTTTTTTGGTGGAATCCTGATTTTGGTACATGGTTCATAGTTATGGTTCTAGAATGGTTAATATATGTAGTTTGTGACTGTCAACCTCAAGCAATATTTTATTTGGACCCATTAAGTCCTTCCACTCATCAGTTTTACATAAACAATTTTCTCAAAATTCTTCGTGATGGTAACTACTCATCCCCTCAAAATTTCCTTCAAATAATTTATTATTATTATTATCATCATCATCATCATTTTGAAATGAATTATGGTTGTATTAATAATTAAAATAATTACAATGCAAATATATCTTGTCATATAAGCTATGCAAATATAGGCTATGCAAAATATATGAAGTACACTAAAAACTCATGATACTAATATAAGAAACTAATGTTAATAATAATTATTATTATTTTGAAAAGAAATATAGTTATATTAATATAATTAAAACAATTATATATAATGTGGATATATCTTGCCATATAGGTCAAGTAGAAAATATAGAACAGGTTAAGAACCTATGAAAAGAGCTAATGTTTATGACAAATAGAACATTTAAGTATTGAAAACTTTTAAATATCAGAATACAACATAAAAGTATTAATAGAGATATATATAGACCTAAAAGGATTATTCTGAAACTTTATATTCAGTATTCATAATTACTATTTTATCATCTAATGTTAACACGGGAGATTAGAAGACATCATAATATAATGTTTCTTAGCACTACAATACTTTGTCAAAACTTAGGTGAACTTCTAACCTGCAGATGGATGACATCCATCTGCATTGCCACAACACCACCTGAGTCATCTAGCCTCACCTTAGGCATCCTTCCATCTTCAAATGCAACCCTAGTCCAAAGTTGACTTCCTTTTCCCTTTCCCTTCCTTTTTCTTACTTGGGGATAGTAGCAATCCACGTCCAAATCTTTTCCAAGTCTTCCGCAGAGTATGGTTTTTCTTCTTTGCTATTTTGGCAAAGATATCGAAGAGAATTCTGGAGGCCGAAACCTATTGCAACAAGAAACCACTACTCAGCTGTGTTCTTTTGCTGATTTCCATAGCATCCTTCCCAGTAGACTTTTGTTCCCTGTGAGCTAGCTGATTTTCAGTAAACAATTACCTTTTCTCAACTCCAGCCTCCTTACGGTCTTGGTCCCCAACTGAAGACTCTTCCACAAAAGAAGAAATACGTTACTCTTCCACTAATGCAGAATACTTGCAAGCTGTTGCTCCTTGCGGACCAACTAAGTATCATGAAGTAACTTCCATCTAACTTTACTACCCCCTTCGTGGTCATGGTTTCCATTGGATGACTCCCCTTTCAGTGACGAATCTGATTTCTCTGCAGTATTAATTTGAATACATGCTTTCGGGATAGCAACTTGCTATCAGACACAACCAGCTCCACAAAAGTCTCTGGTCCCCAATAATCATTTTTTGCACGTAGCCATGTTTTGTAGGGGTAAGATACCTTCTCCCCATCTTCCTTCAATCTAAAACCAATCCCACATTCAGAAACTACATACCACATACATCCACATATGAAACAAAACGAGTTGGATTCAAACTCACAGAGCTCGGGTGAAGCATTCATCCACTTTAAGAATTTTTCCCATATTACTTCCAATTTTGTATATATCCAGCTGTCTCACCATGAAGCCCATAGGGAAGTCCAAAAAGCCGCACCTAGAAAAGAGATGTTGAGAAATCATAATTTCCCAAGGCTAAGGATTTATTAAAATGTCACAACATAATCAACAAGCAATCGAATTTTCAAGATGATTTCTGTAATAGTCTGTCAACATTAGAGCTATTTGAAAACTGAAGCAAGAAAATTCTCTCACCCAATTCCTTAATTTGTACACTAATTGGTTTTCCACGCAGTTGCAAGTGCATTTTATAACCTTTTGAGATTAACTCTCTTGTGGGTATGAATTTTCCCTGCATTTTCTAGTGAAAGTTCTGTTTGTTCTTCCTCTTATAGTCGAATTCGGCCTAGGAGAGAGCCAGGATCGTCTGCTTCTTGGCTTGATGGTTTAGGCCCTAGGTGCCGACTACCTATCCTATCGGACATCCTAGCCGTGAGCAGGATGGTTGGCCCTGAGAGGGAACCGCACTGGAGATGATGGAGACGCAAGAGTGTAGTCGAGAACAATACCGCAGAAGATCTGGTTGTGCATCTCAACCGGCTCTGTCCCAAGGCTCGGGTAATCAGAGTGCAGAGGAGAAAGCCTACGTTGTCTACAGAGACTCGGCTAAGGCAAGTCCGAGCACCAGAAGAGGGTGCCAACGAGGAAAGGAAAGAAGGGAAGGAGGAAGAGAGGGAGAGGAGGTCCCGTAAACAGGGAGGAGCTCAAACAAGAAGAGGGCCAGGAAACCCGAACCCTGGCAGCCACCATAGAGAGAAAGACCTGTAAGACATGTTATTTTAAGTAACTCTATGATGTAATTTTTATTTTCTTCAAAATAAATTATCTCATCAATAACAAAGTTTATATATGTTCATTATAATTTATCAAAGGCAGGCCTGGACCCAAAGTAATTTTGATAATAAAATTAAAACAGTTTGATGCTCAGAGTAAAGAAGAATTTACATAAGCTATAATAACTTCAAGGTTTTGTTATTCTAGAAAAGCCAGTGCTTTCTTCTTGGCGGCCTGGTAGGAACATCTGTATACGAAATTAAATTTAAAAAAAAAAAAAAAAGGAAAAGGAGTTAATTAAATACAGATGAAGAAAGATGGGATACAAGAAAATGTAACAGCAATTATAATTTTGAGGGTTTCATCACCTCCGCTTGCATATAAGGAATTGTAATGTACTTCACTCCAGAAGCTAAGCCAAATATCTAAAACAGAAACTATGTTCAGTAACAAGTAAATAAGCCGGCAAATTAATATAATATAATATGAAAATATAAAAGATTTTTCTGAATAAAAGCATGGGCCAATACAAAAGCACATTGTCGTGCGTGCATCATAAGTAACAATATAGAACCATACTTCAAAAGATTAACCAAGAAGTCTGCAACAACAGACTAAGGGCATCACTGGTTTTAACTTGACATGGTAGATACAAGGAAAATGATGTAGCAGAGCATGATCAGTAGTGGTTTCTATTAGTGCTTCCATTTATCCATGACGTACTATTAAAATTTTGGACATTGAACAAACTGAAAATTTGATTTGCCATGGTAGCACAAATATGACTCCAGAGAGGGGCAACAAACCATAATACTGCCCATTATAATGGCTTCATGTCTGTTTCAGAAGACAAGATTAAGGGCACTTGGGGCTTGATTAGGGTCACAAGGCTGGGACATGAATTAACTAAGGGCAGCCAGCCAACAACCCTGATGTTCAAGGCCCAGGATGGCTAATCATAAATGGAATCTGTTATTTTAGGTGTAAACAGAATCTACAAAAAGTATTGCACATATCCCATGAATAGAAAAGTCATGCACTTATGGGGGTGTTTGGTGGAGCACACATTTTGAGATGCTTATAACCAACTTTTTCTCTCACAAATTTCAAATCATGCTGGAGGGAAAAGTTACTTCTTAGCATTCTTGGAGCTTGTAAGCAAGTTTTACATGAAGCAACACAAAGGATCCAATGAGCTCTGAGAATGCTAAGAAATAAATTTTTTTCTCCAACAGAATTTGAAATTTGTGAGAGAGAGAAGTTGCTTATAAGCAACTCAAAAAATAATCTCCACCAAACACCCCCTAAGCTAATGTCAACCAGACAAAGAATTTTATCAAATACTTCAAGCAAGGCATAGAAATGACATCTACCTCTTGTAGGGCTCTTGTCTTTGGGAAGGATCTCAATATAGCAGGTGTCTCGAAAAGATGTGACTAGGCATATTTTGACTCCAAACTGCAGTGATGTCATACAACTTATGTAAACATCTAACCACTAAAGATCTTAGCATGCAGTTAAATGGATCAAAAACTTCAAGTTTTGTACTTATGATTCAAAGAAAATAAACTAATACAAGTAAATAAAAATAAATTAAAAAAAAAAAAGAAGAAGAAGATAGAAAGCAGGCATCTGAATGATCTACCCCATATTAGGAGAGAACTTTTACATCAAATTTCCACAGGCATCCTACACTACTATTTCCAATATTTCATGTTTAATTAATTGTTCACATTTAGTATGAAACTAGTAAACCATTTTTTAATTCAATAAGGGGATGTAGAGGGGATCTTTCAGACGCATCATGCTACAAACAATATTTTAGTTTGTCCATGTGTATGAAATACAATAATTAAAATTTTGCTTATATGGGTTAATAAGGCTGGCAGGCTGCATTAAATCGCTCCAATAAATTCTTATAAACATAAAACTATTATTGGCAAAGTAAACTTGTCTAACTGTGGTCTCCTGAACCAAAGACATGAAATCATCTTTAAACAGCAATAACTGAAGAAGTAACTGACAGAATGAGAATCTAAAGGTATTACTCAACGTAATATGCATTTTATTATTAGACTTAGATAACTTTAGCCCTTTAGGTTCATTTGGAATCTTCAAACTGAAATGAAAAACCAGTGCCACCTATAAGATGAACTAGAAAAAAGCTTATGGCAAATTCAGAAAGAAATAAAAGATTGGAGAACCAGAACAACCTATCAGATGAACTAGAAAATAACTTGGCAAGGCAGATGATAAATGCTTATGGCAAATTCAGAAGAAATAAAAGATTGGAAAACCAGAACAACCTATCAGATGAACTGGAAAATAACTTGGCAAGGCAGATGCCTAGAAGAAACCAAACACAATCACCCTAAGAAGATCAGAAGATGAAAATCCAACTTACTCGGTCAGCAGCCGCTTGTAGAGTGATATGATCTCCCCATTCACCTGATCTAGAGATAGAATTTTGCAAAAATATCAAGTTAACATTCCCTTGTATAGAGAGCCGTGAAACAAAATCTCTATTTTATGGGAAGAAATTTAGCAAGAATAACCGCAAAAATGTCTAACTTTTTCATCTTCCTCCGGTAGCTTTTGTACTTCATTGGAACATAACCCTCATATAACTTTCTGCATTGTTTTAGCTGAAAAATAGGAAACAAACAAAATCAGAAGAAAAAAACTTGGAAGAGGGAAAACATGGAACATTGTAACCAGTTCAAAACATAACCATGATAAACTCAATTGTAGTTCATTTATTACTTCTATATAAATAGAGAGGATCTAATGGCCATCCCTCTTTAGAAAATGTTTCTCAACAAAATATACAGCTAGAAGTGTTGTCTTCCTTTATTAAGATGCTAATTGGCTTTATCTTCTTTTAAAGACTTTCAATGATGCTCAATCAAATTCCTGTGCTCCTTAATTATAAATTTATGTGGGCTTAAGATCTGTTCCAAAAAACATTTTAATCTCAAACTTACCAAAAGGAGAGGGGAAGGTATCTGAGAATCCAACTCAATTCAACTGAAGGAAGCTTCAGACCCAAACCACATGTCTAATAATCCAACTCAACTTGACCAAAGTAAGATTCAGGCCTAACTACATCATTATACTATCCAATCATGGAACATATTCCAGCAAAAATCTAAACGATCTAAATTCTTACTAACAGCATCCATCCATCCATCAATCATTGACACATCCCCATCCTAATTCATTTCTTCATCATGAATCAAATCACCCTTACTAAAGAAGGATCACCCTTACTAAAGAAGGATCTCCTAGATCTAGTTCTTTTCTTAATTTAACTAATGATGCCTTGACCTCCTTGTGAATAATTTCATTTCTTCATCATAAATTAAATCACTCTTGCTCAGAGGATCTCCTAGGTCTAATTCTTATCTTAATTTGTCTTTTAACTAATGCTGCCTTGACATTCTTATGAATAAATTTATTTATTATCAGATAACCTTACATCCATCTTCACATCCTGTTTTCAGGTACATTCATCCATTGAGCAAACATGTATTTGTTCCATTATATCGAAGATATTCATTACTTGATGATATATGTCTTTAAAACTATTTTCTATAACTTAATAAATTTCTTTCATCAAAACAATAAAGAAATTTTTATGCCAACTTATTTATCATGGGTAGTCATAGACATACTTAAGTGGCATTTATTGTGCAAAACCAAATATACCAGCCTGCCAGCATGCCACGCACCTGAAGCTTGGGAATGGAATGGCTAAGAATTCAGGACATATGTGTTTGGTGGGACAACGATATTCCCAAGAAAGCAACAACATACTTGCAGGAGAAATGAACATGGAAAGGGTATGATATTTTACCAATTGATCAAGTTCACATTTTTAATTAAAAGAGTGAAAGCCCTAAAAAGCACAATCTCTTAAATGGATCTGAAGAAATAATGAATTGGAATGCTAGAAAGGGAAATAGTTATCTAATTCTTAAAGTTATAGAAATTTAAATGATTGAACATTGTGTTAACTGGTAACTCAACCTGCTTGACAATCTGCTTCCTAACATGTTTGTGATAGTCTGGATTGCGAAAAAGCTGATCCGCTAATGCTCGAAACTGTAACAAGTCCAATATCATAAACAACATATCAAGAAAAATAGGATTTATTAAGCAGAGGGGAAAAATATGGCAAGAATCATGATGTCATCTACCCTAAATGTTTCACTTAAACAGAAATAGAAAGATGAATTACAGGGGAAATACAACTAAAAAAGTAAACAGGAGAAAGCAGGATAAATTTTTTGTAAGAGACCTGGCAATTCCCATCACCCTCAATCTGTAGTTCAGCTAGTCCATATGTGGCCAACCTGAATAAAAATTAATCAATTATAAGCAATTGAATCCAAGCCATACATGCAGATTCAAGATTTAGGAAGGCTTGATGCCAAAAAATAAAAAATAAAAATCTTGAAGTTTCAAGCTGCAGGTTACATCTTCATGTCATTATATATAATCTCACTAACCATCCAAAATACAACCATAAAAATAGTAAAAGATGTTCTGAAAGCCACATTTAGCACCAATTTGTTAACTTAACATGGTCAAAATGGTTTAACAGAAAGGATGCCATCAAGATGAATGAATTTAAATTGATTTTTTTTTAAGTATATAAATCAAACATCATAACAAGTAAACAACTAACAATAAAACAATCAACAAGTAATTGCATTTACAACTTATAGAAAGATCTCAACCTTTCAGACAGCCGCTCATGATCTAGGGTGGCATCATTCACATCAGGTATGTCCCCATTAACACGGGGAGTGTGCTGCCAACAAAGTAAACTAGTGAGTAGTCTTTCACAGCAAGTTGGATTCAGAAGCTACCCTAATGGCAGGAGGACAGAAAAAAAAAAAAAAAAAAACCAATATAAAATTTCCAGACATAAGTTTTCAGCATTGCAATTTATTTGAGACTTTTCTTTTCTTTTTCCAGCAAGTGAGACTTCTCTAATTGCAAAATAAATAAGTTTCTCATAGGTTAGCAAAAGCTACAGAACTGTGTGCCAACCAACAAAGTTTGTAATGTAGCAGTCAGAAAAATAAAATAAGCATGAGGCTGATCTTTCAGACTACATGTAATATCAGTCTTAAACATGGCATGAATATATTCATTGAAGGTCTACACTTTTGTGCAGAGCCAGTGCAAAAGGCACTACTAAGACATTTCCATGTTGAATTTGAACTGAAAGAAAACTTTACTATCAAGAGAGTGACCCAGCTGAAGATAATGAAATGCAGAGATGGTCATACCGGAATCGAATCAAGATGTGAAAGCCTCTTCGCAAGCATCCCATCATTTCTCAAGTTTTCTTCTTCTGCCAAGATGTTAGCAATGGTTTGGTCATCCTCTGTGTCTGGCAAGCTGCCTGTCAAACTCGAGCTGGAGCTTGCACTAGCACTTGCATTGCAGTAATTTTCCGTCATGATATCTCAAGATTAGCAAGTAACCAAGAACCTATAAAACATTCAGTTACAATAACCCTGTTCAATAAGCCATCAAATAGAATGACAAAAACGTGCATACACCATCATCATACCATCATAAATACAAAGGTCAATTCAAACAGCAATTATCATACATGTATCAACAATTATAACTAAAAACCAGAAATACAGACAACCCCTAGAAAGCTAGAACAAGAAAGATTCTTTCTACAATTTTCTCAATAAACAAGAAAAGAACACAATCTACAGGGTAATCCCAGTTTTTTTTTTTTTTTTCTTTTTAGTCAATCAAACACATATTGAAGGATTTGAGAAAAAAACGTGGGGAGAAGAACTGGTTCGGGGATATGGTGGGTCAGAGCTAGGGGAAAGGAAGTGTAGCTGCTCCGGGCGGCCGGGGGCAAGGAGGAATGGCCTGAGGAAGTCGGCTGCCTGATGGGTTTTTGAGTAATCTCAGGGTGTAATAGAGAAATGAAAATTAAAACCAACCTGAAGATGATGATAGAAGGAGAGAGTACCCAGAATAGAAATTGATCGACTTCTTAAGGCTTGTGTGAGGATATTATATTCATGTTTTAATTGCAGCAGGTAGCAGATGTTGAAAATATCTTATATTGAGTCTCCATTGAACCTTTCCAATTTTTTCATCCAGTATACCTATTCTCTATCTTGGGTTTATCTTTTCCATGGGTCAAGAAACCCAAAAATAAATAAATAAATATATATTGAAAATTTATTTGTAGTTTTGTATAATTTAAATAGTAAAAATAATGGACATTAGAAGGATACTAATAAGAGATGAAAACTTAAAAATGATAAAAATATTAAGAAATTATTTATAATTTAATATAATTTAGATGGTAAAATATTAAATTTTAAAGGTATATCAATAAAAAAATCAAATCTTATATTTATATTTTATACATTATCATTTCTGTGTTTAATATTTTTAAAAGTTTTTATTTTTGAATAACATTTTTTATAATTTAAAATTCATAAAATAATTAAAAATAAAACTCCTTATTTATACCATCATTTTATTAATAATTTAAAATATTTTATAAATTTTAAATTATAAAAAATATTAATTAAAATTAAAAATTATGAAGAATATTAACAATAAAAATATATATAAAGTACAAATAGAAACTCTTGACATAACAGAAGATGGGACGTTTCATGAGGCAGGCTGGCGTCTTGAGTTGTGATCAAGAGACAAAGGTTGCCTGCCTTGGACCAAACGTTATTCTATCCCCATATGACAAACCGTGGCGACGTGCATCATCAACTAATTAAATGAAACCTGTCATGGAAAAATATTTATGTGAGAAAAGGAAAGAATATTAGAATAAACATCTTTGAAGGATTTGGTGGGGAGGGTTTCGAATTCGATTGTGTTCAACGGCCTTACCAAAGCTGTCCAGTAAAGGTTTTAGTGGTCTCTTCGGGGCTGGGCGCCGGAACCTGGGCCTGAGCCGCTACCTGAAAAAAAAGGGCACCGGATAATGGGTTGTGGTTCGGCCAGAAAAGGGCTTCGGGCCCAACAACACTGGTTCATGCCTAACCGTCCTCAAATGGTGTTCGATGTAGGGCTTAGCATTGAGTATGGATATATCATATATAACATTTTGGGGGTACTTGATTTGTTTGGGTGATTATTTTAGCTATATATGAAAAAAATAGTTAAATTAATATCAATTATGAAAAATGTATACTTGCAAGTCTCAGATCAAATATTAGGTATAAGGGTTTATATTTGCATTCCTAGGTTGTATATATGTGTATAAAGCATAACTTGATCATTAGTATATTTCTGAAAAGTTTATAAATCTACTTAATATATTAGTAATTTCTTTTCTTATGTCCACTCACAAAAATGAGTTCTACTTTTACCTCTCAAGAATAAGGAGATTCAGTTAAATTTGGATTGTAAAGACAATTGACAATATCTAAATATGTTTTTGAATTTTAAATTAAAATACATTATTAACTATGTAAAAATATCATTATAATTTATATAAAATTTGCTTTATTATTCTTAAAATTTTATAATATAATGATCATATTCTAGTTCGATGTTGCAATATAATATCATTATAATTTAAACTAGAATTTTTGCAAGTTAGTCCTTTGTGGGGGGAGTGAGAAGATATTAATGATATTAGGTTTGTATTGGATTGGAGTACTGCAACTTCTCTTTTAAACAAAGAACTTCTATCAATAAAGAAAACCGAAACTACGATAACACACTTCTATAAATTTTGTCCTTGTGTTTCCTGTTTGTATACATACTATAAATTATAAACAGAAACTCAAATTAACCAATTCATCCTAATTAATTTGAATCAAAAAGGCCTCTTTAAATCCCTGAAATCTAAAGAATCGATGCACTCCATCCTATCCCTATAAAGATTTAACAACTTCAAAACTTCAGTCACTTTGTCCTTCGTTCTATCCTCACATCCAACTTGCAAAAGCAACAATAGCTTCTGAAAAGCACCCGCCTGAAGAGCCTGATTAACAACAAGATTAACGCCTCCACAATCTTCATCATTTTTCTCCATCTTGCAAAGCTTCCACAGAATGGACACAGAGAACTCGGTAGACAGATTTGACACCCGGAGTAACTTCCTCACCAAAACCGGTATGCCCAGAGCGTTATTGCTAACTGCTTCTCGCCCTTCTTCGATTGTGCAAATTCCATCTAGAATGCCCAACGCCTTCTCGCATATGCTCCTTTCGGATTCCACTAGGGTTTCTAGTAACAATAATACCAACCCCATGTGTACCAACGTTGATAAAACATTTTCTGATGTACAAGGGGATGTGACCAATTTATAAATGATGGTTAGGGAAGCTTTCGTGGTAGAAGGGCAGATTGGCTCTTTAATCATCTTGAACAATGCTTCGATGGCTCCTTCGATCTCCAATACCTGGTTCACCTTTCTCTGATTGGATGAAAAGAGCTCCTTCAACACCAAAACCGCGTTTGTCCTCCTCGATAGATCTCCACTACTCAAAAACCATATTATACAATGCATGGACGACGATGTTCCTAAGAAAGCATTTGCATCATCGTGAAAAGGAAACACCATCGTTAGGGTTGACAGTATCTCCTCCAAAACAGCAACGTTTTCGTCAAGAGCTCCGGTCGAAAATGCCTCGAATGCTTCCGCTAGAACACTTGCTGACCCACTGGTTGTAATACACTTTCTGTTTCGCTCACTTTCTTTTGCTAGCCCCTTGAGTTTTGCTACCAAATCTCGGCACCGGACTTGATCTCCTTCTTTACAAGCAACGGTGACCCTGGAAAGAATCTCTGAAACCTCCGCCGGGCTGACTGGAATCCTAGGTGTAGGGATTCTCTCTATGCCATAAGACCGATTCTCCACGCACCAATCCTGAATCATCCTCAGTATGGTGCGATTCGGCACCGATTCAAGACTTTCCAAGACCTGGTTTGTGGTAGGACACCTAAAATTTCCCTCCTCAATCCACTTTTCAATGGTCTCCCGATCGTAAGTTACGCCGGTGGACAAAGTGACAGGATCCTTCATCAAGTCCAGCGATATCGGACACCGGAAATGGCTCGGAATAGTCAACTCCATGTTGTTACCGTCGCTGTTCTTATCTTGTTGCTTTCCAGCAAGGCGGGCTGCTCTTCGCCTTCTCCACGAAGAAATCATCATTAATAAGTACTGTGAAATATAACCGAGATATCCGCTAGTAGGTGTCGAATTAAGATGTGAAGATGGGTGCCTGGTTTTTGGTCTTATATATTTAGAGACTCAGTTCAACGTTTGACGCGGCTCGGAGTTACACTTTCCACGTTCAAAACTGGTAAGAGAGAAAATTATTAAAGTATGTAGAATAAAATATTAGAAAATTTGACCGTTGAAAGTTTGAAATGGTAAGCCGGTTGCGGCTGGATTTTGGTTGGAAATCAAAGTTTGACAGATATTGCGAAGGCCTGTCAACGTACGGGTCGGTGGACTCATTTGACCAACACGACAATCTGACATGTGACGTTTTGGTTTGGATTTTTTCTCTTGTAATTGCATTTTTAATGATAATAATAATAGAAATTAATATTTAGTTACATATAATTTTTAAAAATTAGTACATATTAATTTTAATTTTTTTAAAAATTAGAGTTTTAATTTATATTTAAAAACTAAAATTTTAATTTAAAATTTAAAAATTTAATCAACTTTTAAATTTAAATATTAATATTTAATAAAATAGATTTTTAAATTAACTTTTAATTAAATAAAATAAAATAATTTAAAATTAAATTTTTAATTTTAAATGTTTTTAGTCCTTGA